TCATCAGCGTGTCAAGGATAAGGTTATTCCACCGGGCAAGTGTCGCGTTGTCGCGTGGTACCACGACGATGACTCTCGATCGCGCTTGTATCGCCCGAAGGCGATCAGGAAGTGTATTTTCTCTATGCTCGATCATCCAAGCTGCCGGATAATTAAAGCGTACCACGGCCAGTCACCGAGACGAGGACGGGGTAAACTGGTTCGTTAGCGGGAGTGAGATCCGTGGCTTGATTAGAACAAACCGTATGAACTCGATCTACGGCGAAAAATTTGAACCCCTCGACTTGCAATATCGATACGCGCTCGATGGTTACAAATCGTGGTTAAGATTGGAGGGAAGTAGGTTGTAATAATGATAGAGTTTTGTTTTAACCCTTTAAGTCTTTGACAATGTCGAGCGAAGTTTAACTCCCGTATTCGTTCCAAAAGAATTTTTTATTCTTATCGAAAGAAGTTTGAAAATTCTGACTTAACGAATAATTGTATAATGTAATAGGGACTTGGACAAGTATCCCAGAATTTTACCAGAAAAAATTAGACCTACAGAGTGTCTTGCAGAGTAGCTTGCTAAACTGCACCTATTCGAACCAACCCAGACAGCTTCTACACGAAGAACCAGTCCGTCGACTCTACCAGTGTGGTAAACCCCAAAACACCTTGTCCATTGAAGAAAAGTTCGGGTAAAACCCAGCAGCACGAATACGATCAGCGTAACAAGATACCTCCAGCCGCAGAAAGAAGCCAGCAAACGATAAACGAGGGTGCAAGAGGAGGCATAAGTCGCGCGGAGTTTACGCGGAAACGTTTTCAATGGAGGAAACAGGCTCGAGGCTTTCCTTAGAAACGAGAGTCAGAGAGTTGGACGATGAGTTTTCGCCAGGGAGGAACGCGTTTCTGCCGACCCAACGAAACGGCTCTCTGAAAAAGGGAAGAAAAACAAAGGGAAGGGAGAGAAAGAGAGAGAGAGCAGGTGCAACAGATCCGCAAAGTCAGTTTTACATCGGAAATAGAGCAGCAAGAGTGCGGACCACGCTGATGACTCAGTGTGGCTTTCACGTCCCGCGAAGAAGGAGAAAGAGGGAGGACGAATACGAGTCCTTGACCAGGGTTTCGCTCTCGTATAGGAATTAGCGATAATTATATGGGACTAGCACCTGCACGCTGCCGCAAAAACCTGGAATGCTCTGTTGCCCTGTTGCTTCTGCACATCGTTCCAGGCGGCGTTGAGTCACGCCGCCCTGAGGATGACGCAAAGGGACATTAAGCAAAGTTACCTGGACGCGATCCACGATAATCCGGTTAAAATCGGGCGAAATTACAGGAAACCGAAAGAAACATCCGTTCCGCCAGTTTGAAAATAATAATAATATTTTATTCATAGGCGTAAACCCCCTTTCTCATATCTAATACACGATGCAAAAACGAAGAGGGCGAGCGCTGAAATTACTATATGTTGCCGATCAAGATACCTTTTAACCCTTTCGCTGCGGCAGATTTTAACACGTCACGTGTGCGGCAGGTTTAACTAAATTTCAACCATGTTTTCAAGCATGGTACATTTTTAACCGTGACACGAAATTTGTTCTTTTGAAATTCGGTTTATTAAATTAAGGTGGAAGTACGTACAGGATAAAATTAAGTATTAAATTAAAGTGGAACTATGTAAAGGATAACTATTCCTCTGTTTCTAATAATTTTCCAGATATTGAACTAAATATGTTTACTACCTCCAACTTTGAGGGCGATTTCGCGCCCCTTCAATGTGGACGATTACTGATAAAAAAAAAAACGTGTCAAATATATTTTCTAGTACTACCATATCCCAAAGTTTTATCAATATCGGTAATTATCACTTCAGAATGTTCCCTTCTCAGAATATTATGAATATTAAACATTTTTATAATCTGCGTCCGGGAACTTTTATTACACACTGTATAAATTGAAGAGATACCACTAGATTCGAAGTATTCCTACCAAAAAAAAAGTATTTTCGGTAAATTTTCTCAGCATTCTACTGAGCAAACATTTGATCAGAGTCAGAAGTTTAACAGATAAAATGAAACGGTCGTGAATCGAGCGTGCATTTCGAAGTCGAAAAATTCGAGCGCAAAATGGAATCCATAGATCGGATGATGTGTAAAATAAAAGAAAAAAATGACGGAAACGTGAGCATCAGAGTGACCAACGCCGCCGCCCGCGTTCATCCCCTTCGATTTTACGTCGTCGAGAATTTCTTCTGGGTATTGAGTCGTAAAACACGCGCGTTACCGTAGAAATTTACGAACGCCGCGTTTTGGACGCGTATAAATAACACATCGAGACGAAATGGCAGG